GCAAGTGGAGGAGTGGGGAATCAAACCCAGTTCTCCCAGATTAGAGTCTGTGCACTTAACCAGTTGGATTGGAAAGGATGGAAAGAGAGAGAGAGAGAAAGATGAAAGGGAGGGAGGAAGAAAGAGAGAGGAGAAGAAAGAAAAGAAGGGAGAGAGGGAGAGAAAACGAGGAAAGAAGGTAGTATGGAAGGACCCAGCACAGTTGGGGGGAGAGAAGGACGCTTCAGAGCGGCGTGACTCCAGTCTCTTTGGGTTCAGGCAGGAGTCTCCGCACAACAGCCATCCCAGTGGCCATGGGGCAGTCCTGATGCCAGGCTTACCTGCCGACCGCTGCTCACCTCCCACTGCCTCCGAGCGCCCGATGAGCCCTCCCGCCTGGCCACTGCCCCCTATATTTGGAAAGCCTGAACACCAGGCTCTGACGTCACCGCATCTAGTCATAACAATCCCTGAACTCTGCAGTTGCCAGCTACTTTCACAAGTGTTTTAAATTGCAGTTTCTCGTGTTCTCAACAGATATTCTCTTGATTCTTTCACTGCAGTATTCCAGACACTTCACACTAGCTTACAGTGTTACTGAGTTCAGTTTCCCTTGCATATTTGAGTGCATGTTTCGTATAATTTACAAGCATATAATAGGGGAAAGTGGTGGATGTCTGTTGTATGATGGTATTGTCAAATAACTTCTGGTTTTCAGTATTACTTTTTATTTACCATTGACACAGCATGAGATAGAAATATGCACAAACTCATACGTATTTAAGAAGTTTTCACATACAGTAAACTTCAATCTTAATCTCCAGTGACCAAAAAAAAAAAGCTACACAGGATATTGGTGTATATTCACAAACGTTCAAGGGAACCAACAGATGTAATAGAGAGTACAACAACAATCAATCTTCCTATGGAACTTCTTTTGAATAAATTAGTAAATTAGAGGAAAATATAGAAACTACACATTGTGGCCTTCAATGAATCTAAATCTCCCCAGTTGTCATTTCAACTCACGTTGTTGCAGTTCAGCGGCAAATATATGTGAAAGGCAACCACATCACTTCTGTAAAGTTTTCAGTTTCCTCTGTGATGTTTGTGACAGTCTTTGCCCATTTTCTCTTTTACAATAGTTGTTTAGGAATGCAGAAATCCTCCCTCGTTTTTGCGATGAGAAAACCAGTCCGGGAGAAAGAAAGAGATTGTCGTTTTCAGTGAAAAGGCATATTTAATCCAGATCTGAAGGACAGAAACTGTTGGGATTCTTATTCTTATTTATTTGTTAGCAGACAAACCTCTACATCCACACTGCTAAAATGAAATGGCAGAATGGTCGGCTTCTTCCACCGCCCCCTTTCCCAGTCAGAACAAAGAGACAAAGAGACAGGAAGATGGGCCATAAAAATGCAAACAAATGCTCTCGTCTCCTTCCACTGAAGTCTTCAACACTCCATCTGAAATCATTACACAAAACAGCAGCCCTCTGCTTAGTGCCACATAAGCACAGGGAGATTGTTATGACTACTCTCGTAGCCATGGCAGTGACGTCAGAGCCTGGTGTTCAGGCCTTCAATACAGGGGGTGGTGGCCTGGCCCAGGCTCCTCTCTCTGCAGGAAAGCACCTCCTTGACCGCGCTGAAGCTGTTCGGGCACCCACGAAGCTCTTCCCAACCTGGCTGCGCTTCCACCAATCGCTGGCCACTTGGGAGCCGGGGAGGGCCCCGCAGCTGCAGGCCTACAGACGGGCGCTCTCTCTCTCTCCCTCCCTCCCCTCAGCGCCCTGCTATGGAGGGCAGCCGTGGGAGACTGGGAAGAGGAAGGGACGGGACCAGACTGTGGGGCAGGGCGAGCGGGGTGGCCGAGGCGAGCAGCAACTTCCCGGCAGATTTGGAGTGGGGTGGGTTGAGGGGGGTGGAGGCGACCTGGCGGTGACGTCCCTCCTGCCTTCGGCCAACCATCCCTCGGTGAGGCTGGTTCTCCTTCCCCGCTGGCCTCGACTTGTTTGGCTGAGCGCCAAGGTTTTCTGAGGGGCAGGGCTTGCTGCATGTGCCCGCCCCATGGGCTCCTTACTGGAGGAGTATTGCTCCGGTGAGCTCCTGCAGGAACCGAGCCCTGGGGATGAGTATGTTAAAGAAGAATCTGTAAGAATTTTTACCCCTCATATGTTTTGTTTGATTTAAAAAAATAAAAAAATGATTACAAAAGGCAGCATAAAATATTTTTAATAAAGAAATTAATGTGTCAAAACATCCCATACTGGTCCATGCAAGGAAAAATCCCAAGTACCCCCCCACACACACACACACATACACCTCTAATACCATCCCCAAGCACTGGCACAGCTTAGATTGCTTATAAAGTCTGCAGCCAATCACAGTCCTTCAAAGTTCTCCATAAATCCCAGCCAGGACCCTACAACTTAGATTATATGGCACGCCTTAACAATTAAGGACAGTCTCTTCATTTTCTTGTAATTTTATTAAAGCTATAATAAAAGTGTTGTAATAGATAAGAAAAAAATTGTGAGGGAGGGAAATCCCACCTGTCCTATATGTATGCCCTCCACACTTCTTGATTACCTCTTGCCATTGCTACTGACACCCACCAGCTGATGAGGGCTGGGTGGGAAGGTGGGGAAGGCTTTTTTCTTAATCCTCACCTCCAAGTGACGGTGTTGCTACTGCCTCATCCCTCTCCCCCCACTCCTGCCTCCTTATCCTTTCCCAGTCCTCCAGTGGTTGCCCTGTCTTGGTATCTGCCATCACAGATCCCCCCCCCCATTCCTAACTTACCATTTGTCTGTGTGACAACATATTGGCATTGTTCAAATAGTTAAAGAATCTTTCAAAGATCAGTCTGATATTACTGCTCATAAACAGCAGATATTGTTAGATACTGCTTTGAAGATTTAGAGAATACTGGCCAGGTACTTAGTCACAATATTTTGTAAACCCATTCATCCATACTGTGGAAGATGTTGACTCTGAAAATGGTGAGCAAATTATCTTCATCTTTCTTATCACATTATTTTAGTGAACGGCTGATATCGTCATGTAGAATTTCAACATGTGGAACCATGTTATACAATGCAGATGCTCTTCACTAATTGACACAGGTGGTTTGTATGAATGCACCTGTCAGCTCAAACCTATGTATGTCTTGGAGACTGGACCACAATTCTTGCTTTCTAGTTCTAGTAATTCACACTAGAACCTGGTCAGGATCAACCTAATTGAATATCTTGTTTGCTGTCTAGATGGCAGTGTTTCCAATTTTGAATTCAGTAAGAAGTTCTTCTGGTAACTTACATTTATATGAGTGCCCCAGTTTGTATAATTATAGTGAGTATAAAGCATGAAGTATGGTATCCAGCAAGCAAATGATGCATATAACGGTCCCCTAATCATTGATATTGAGCTATAATGGAGGAACATTTCAGTCATGTTCATGTATTCCCAAAAGGGAGAAATGACATTATGAAAAACCTTCTCCTACACAAAGATTTTAATGGTATGGAACACTGAGTCATGAAGAAGATTGTTTTGAAAATAGTAAAGAAACAAAAGATATAAAATTTGGCAATCTACACTTTTCTCATTAAGAAACACTTGGTTGTAGGCTTGCCAAGTCCCCCCACCCCAGAGACCCATTCCCCGCCGGCGGCGGATCGGGCCCCAGGGGGAACCCCACCCCCAAAGTACGTGACGTGCACGTCACCCGGAAGTGACGTGACCAAGCCGGGCACGCTGGGGGCGGGGCCACGGTCATCCGAGGGAAAACTCCAGCAAAAGGTAATACTTGGCAACCCTATTTGGTTGCCACTAATTCCCATCCAAATATCAACATTGGTATCAATCTATGAAAAGCAGCCAAACCATCATATGTAGAATTTGACAACCCAGCTTTTTGTACTCTGTAAACTTTCCCCATTACAAAACATTTGGTTGCCTCTAATACCCCATTTCCCTCATTTTCCAGATATCTGTCCATTGGTATTCCAAATTTGTGCATGATATCTGTGTATGCTGTTTATTATGTACAGAAATATGCATGTATGTTATAAAGATTGTTTAAAATTTGTACTTGTTGGAATTAACAAGTGAATGCTGGCCATCCCAGATAAATTTTAAGATTGTCCCCAAACTGACAAAATGCACCACCAAATGTTGACAGTCACTTAAAAGTGCTATATTTTGTGAGGTTTTCATCACTCACAAAATTATATATATTCAGGCATTCAGAAATTATCTTGTATTGTAAGCATTCATATGGGAATATCAACATTCAGTGAATTATACTTTTACAAGAAGGGGGACCCACAATACTCATGGGGGGGGGAGAAGCTCCACGGGAGGAGAAGGAAGCAGCCGCATGTGAGCCTTCTCCCCTGCCCCCCGGTCCCTGGCACCCACAGCGAGGCCCACACCCCTCCAAGTCTTCTCCCTCCCCCCCAGCACCGGTGGCGAGGCCTGAACTCAACCTGTCAAGCTTTCTCCCTCCCCCCTCCCCTAGCAGCAGCGAGGCCTGGCCACCCCACCAAACTTTCTCTCTCCCTCCCTCCCCCCCCCGCAACCTAGATGTCTCAGCCCACCAAACTTTCTCCCCCCCCCGGCGGCGGCAAGGGCTGAGTGGCTTACAACCGCCGGCCAGCCAAGCCTTCTCCCACCCCCTCCCCCTCCCTGGTGGTGGCGGTGAAGCCGTTCTCAGAGCATTCCCTGCACAGGGACCACTCTTTTACTTTTGGGGGGATTTAAATATCCCCCACATATTTGGTATTGCCCCAAATGTGCAGGAAAATCTCCCTGCCCCCCAAGTGCCCCTGATGTGTGGATTTAGATATCTGCACAGAGGGGGCATGTTAGGAATTAGATATATAGATGTGAGCAAAACTATGTTCAGATAACCTTGGGACGTTTCTTTGCCAGAAAATTATGAGCAATAAGATACGAAAGAGCAAGGAATTAAAATGATGTCTTTATAGTGATAACTCTAAGATTTTTTTCCCCTAGTGGTGGAAAGACGCAGGATGAAATAGTATTGGACATGGCATCTGATATTCTAACACGATTACCACTGACTGTAGAGGATATAGGACAGGCAACTAAAACTGAAAGTGCAACAACTCTTGATAGCTTTATGTCAGGCCCCATTTGGACTGCTCTTGTGAATGCTGCTAAAGGTCAGAGTTGTAGTTCATATAATATAAAATTAAAATTAATATTATCTTGTAGAAAGTGTAACCAAACTATATGACTGATGGTGGTGGAGGTGGTTGTTATGACTTTATGAAGTGTAATACAAGCAATCCATACTTTAAAAAATATGGATGTCCCAATGATTATTTCCATGTGTGTAGAAAAATTCTCATTAGCACTTTGGCCATGAGATTTAGTGTGTAGAATGCTGACAAGGTGCAGCAGTATAACTGGTAGTACTAAACTAACATTGAAACAGCTTGGATCTGAAAGACTGAGAGGTGGGGTGGGACAAATGAGCATCTTAGAGAAGTGAAGGGATGCTGTATTCATGGCTATATAAGGGTGCTGTCTGTATGAACTGGCACCTCTATATGACTCCATTATACAAGCTAAATACAGATTGGTCCCTTTAGTTTTGTACAAAAATGATATTGTCACATGAGGTAATTTTGATGAGCAGTCAGGAAAATGGCGGAATGAATAACTCCTATCAAGCATGGCTAACCCAAGACATTCTTAAAATCCAAACGATTCTTCTGCAAATAAAAATACCAAAGGTTTCTGCTTGGGGGTTGGGGGTAAGCTATTCAGGCTGATGCAACTGCCTTCTTCTGCACAACAGTTGGGCCTTCCACACTGTAAGAATTATGCTGGTAACTTTTGGATATTTTCTCTCATCCTAGGTCCTGGTTCTTATATCAGTACCCCTTTGATAACTGTGTTGCACCAGGAGATTGACCAGTTTAATCATTTATTATCCTTGATAATTCAGTCGTTACATGCACTTCAACAAGGTACAAAAGGCAAGATTATGTTCACCACAGACCTAGAACAGCTTTATAACTCACTATTGAAAGGCAAAGTGCCAGACCTATGGCAGGTAAGTGAACAGTCTCGCTTGCCACAAAAATAGATGCTTGTGTTGTTGCCTTTGAAGGTGGTGATTGGTGATTTCATTTTAATATGGCTGGTTTTAATATAGAATTGTAAACCACCTTGATCCACAAGGAAAAGGTGGAATACAAATATATGAATAAATAATATAGCAAGCTAAACTGTTTCTTCTGGGTCAGCAGCACACAGTTCACACATCAGCCTAAGCTAGTATAAAAGATGCTCCTGTCACTGTCAGGACCTGAGCATCCAAATGGAGTGATCAATCCAGGAGCACTCCCAGCCTGTCTCCCTGATTTGAAATGGAATCAGTGCAGCCCCATCCAAAATGGGTTTATCCCGTTTCCCAGGCTAGCTGAAGTACCAACCAAATAGAACTTTAACTTTACTTAAATTAAGATTGAATTTGTTCACCTACACTGAATCCAGTATTGCATTCAGATCACAATTTTGACAGCTTCCTACAGTTTGGGGAGAAAGACAGAGCAGTGTGTCATTACATATTGGTGATACCATAAATATTTAAATGACCTTTCCTTTTATGTAGATGGGAACAGTATTGAGGTCCCATATGTCATAGATTATGTGAGGAGCAGAAATTGTCCAGAATCACCTTTTGGGGCTGTCCCTTGAGCTAAGCCACTGAAGTAAAGTACCAACCAGTCTCATTCCTGCAGGACACTTTGGAAAGACACCATGGTCAATGGTACTGACAGCCCCCTAATAGTCATTCAGAATAAACACAGTTGTACTTTCCCTATGCATGTTATGGCATAGGCAATCCACCAGTGTGACTAAGGCTGTTTCAGTCCTGTACTCACAGCAAAAGCTTGACTGAAAGAATCTGAAAATGCTCAAAGGGGATGAAATTTCTGAACAAACAGCATGTAAGCAGAACAATGGTCTGAAAAGGGGCCCATGATCTAATGCATAACCATGCTTTGATACCTCTCACCAACCAGACTGGCATGCTGCTTGCGAGCTTTCCATCTTGAATTTTTTAAAATTTGAGATTGTATTTTATCTGCCGTTACTCAACAGCAACATTCTTATGTGTCATGTAAACCTCTGGGATCCTGGACTGATGATCTCATTCTGCGACTGAACTTCTTTGCTATGTGGGCAAATCAAGTAATCACCTGTATGCAGGCAAGGTAAAATGCAAAACAAATAATGAAAACTGAGCAAAGTCTATAAATATCAGGAACTGTATTTTAGGGACAAGAGGTTTAAAATGTCAAGGCTAGTACAATAATTGTGAATGTAATATTTATTATAGCTACTATGGAAATCCAGGTGAAGACAATTATCACAACATATCCTTTATAGGCAAATGCCTCTTTTGAGTCAGATGTGTCTTGAAAAATAATTTTATGCTTTAAATCCTGGCTTTCCTTTATAGGCAAAAGGGGATTCTCAGTCCTTCAGGGATTGCCCTTCCCTTGTGTATAGGCGGTAGGGCCAATTTGTTAATCCACTTCTTCACTGAAGAAGGGTCCCCAGCTTCCCAGGCAAATACTGCCTTGTGACAAGGACACAAGATCTTAGCTGAACTTCTCAGAACTGACCCTTTCTGCTAGCTTTTGCGTACGTAACTCCCCACGTAACTCCCCTGTCCCTGCTTGCAGCCTGGCAATCCTAGGTAGGGATGGGAACATCTTGGGAGAGGAAGAGCTTTGTTTTCTTTTTTTGTAGCCTATCAGATCAGGGCAGGCTTTCACACTATCTCCAGCTGTGCCTTCTCCTTTACCTTGAGGTGACAAGGGATGGGCCCTCAGCTGCAGCAGCAGACACATTCTTTGATGGATGCCAGCAGTATTCCATGTGTCATTGTACCTGCTCCTCTTGTCATACTTTTTACTCCACATGGCATCATTTCTATTAAGCAGCAGCTGGACAGACATTTGTCAGGGATGCTCTAGGTTGATCCTGCATTGAGCAGGGGTTGGACTAGATCACCTGTATGGCCCCTTCCAACTCTGTGATTCTATGATTCTAGGAATGAGCATAACTTAGTATATCAGATGAAGCCTCAGTCCACCCATTTCTCCATGCCTCTAGCTGTGCCCACTCTTCCAAACTGGATGAGTGTGAGCCCTCCTCTGTGGTGAAAGCAGCAAGCTGGCCCTACCTTTCCTCATAATGGGTGTGGCAATCTCCAAAAATCAAGAGTGCTCTACAGACTCTTTAAAGAATAGGAATTTATAGCAAGAGATGTGTCTTAAAGATCTGGACTTTATCTGGCCAGTACCAGCTACCCTGTATTATATATTTGTATACTGTAATCCTTTGAATCCTTATGTTTTTGTAGCAGTGATAGCATTGTCTGATACCATGAATACCTAATTAGTTTGGCCATTAAAAATGACTCAACGTCCACTTATTCAGGAGTAAGCTGGCAACTTAGAAATTTAATATACTAAGGGTTCACTGTGTTTTCCATAGACATAACTATTTAGTGAAACTTCAGAGGCAAACCAGAACACTGCTTCAGCCTGATGAGGATCCTGACTTTTTTGGTGATAGCAATCAGGGACACCCCAGTCATTTTTGGCTTCCAGGTTTCTTTTTCCCACAAGGTACAGAATTCCACGGGCAATTGTTTATCTACACCCTTCTTTTAACTTTCCTGCATTTGTTTTATCATGCTTGTTGAAATGTGTGAGTTTGTCTTTGTTTTTCCTTTAATACTACTACATAAAATGTGTAGAGAGGTTAATATTAGCGCTACTATTGTTTAACGATAGTATGGGGCATGTGCTATATGTACCCTTGTGGTTCTTGGTGCCATTTTAAGCTGTTTGTGGTTGATAACCAATGAGACTGCCCTATAAAATGTGTAGAGAGGTTAATATTAGAGCTACTATTGTTTAACAATAGTATGGGGCATGTGCTGTATGTACCCTTGTGGTTCTTGATGCCATTTTAAGCGGTTTGTGGTTGATAACCAATGAGACTGCCCTGCCTTCAATCCAAAGAAAAATACAGGTGCTGTGGTCATCAAACAATAAGGGGAGTTTCAAAACAAGGTGGTGGTGATGTGGAATGATGGACTACTGTTTTATAAGCTATTATAAAAGCCCCTTGTCCATGTGCAATCCTAGGTTTGGTCCCTAAATTCTGATTTAAAATAATCTCAGATAGTACCGTAGGGGAATACTTTTGCTTAAGGAAGTGACACCCTAACCTGGATGGCCCCAGGCTAGCCCAGTCTCATCAGATCTTGGAAGCTAATCAGGGCTGGCTCTGGTTCGTATTTGGATAGGAGACCACCAAGAAAGTCCAGGGTCGCTACACAGAGGCAGGCAATGGCAAACCGTCTCTGAACATTTCTTGCTTGGAAAATCTTACAGGGTTACCATAAGCCAGCTGCAACTGTACTGGCACTTTCCACCACCGAGGAGGTGATAGTATGTAACAAACTTTTTTTTTTACCCACACAGGAGGAAATGCAGCTTGGGGAGGTATGATTTAAAATAGTGACTCTGCAAGTGAGAAAGATCTCTGTTTTCAGAATTTACTTCCCAACTTTACTAAAGCCAGCTCTAATAATCAGTCACTTTGTCAGTGTGACTTAAGTGGGACTGACTTTGGCTTGATTGAGATCACTGCTCTATAAATAAATATGAAGTGTCTACTTGGTGGATTCTGGGGTGTTGCCACAGATTGTTCCAGAGCAACTGTTCAGGGGCCACTTTGGTTAAACGTTGGCTGTTTTGTGATACCTGAACATATGGAAAAGACCACATTCTTGAAAACACATTTTCTTTGTTATCAGTCTTAAAGACACGGAAATGTGAATCAAAATGAACGTATTTCAAGATGGAGTTGGAACCAATGGGGTTTTCAAGGTAAGAGATAAGCAAAGGTGGTTTGCCATTGCCTTCCCCTGCATAGCAACCCTGGTCTTTTTTTTGGCAGTCTGCCATCCAAAAACTAACAATGGCCAACCTTCCGTAGTTTTCAAGCTCTGACAAGCTCAAGCTAGTTTGGGTGACTAAGCTGCTTTTTGAGTAAGCTAGCCTATATTCATCATCTTCATTTTCTTCAAACTACATATAACTGTACGGTATCTATCTCCTATTTAGTCAATTAGCCCACTTAAACTGAGAGAAAAATAGCTAAAGATGCTTCATTGTGTTGTACACAAATATGGTATATACACAAATTGAATATATAGTGAGGTTGGCTGTAAGCGGCAGAAGACAGTATGAAAGATAAGTTGCTGCTAGCAGTTCTGCAATTTTTTGTTCTCTTCTCCCTTTTAAAATCCAGCAAGTAAAAATGTGTGAAATAACATCACCACACATTAATTTTTATTGTAAAGAATCTCCAGTCCAGGGGATTCTTGCTTTAGGCAGGCAGAGCACAAAATTACACAAAACCCTGGGGTGTGCTTCCACACACGTCCCAGTTGGTAGTCTGCCACCAACCCCTTGAACTACCCACACAGTCAGAAGCCAAGGGGCAAGCTTCTAACCTTGCTGGATTTAATTAGGAAAGTCAGCCCTGCAAGAATGAGTTTCAGTAACAATTAACCTGGTAGGTGGACTTTTAACCAGTTTGGTACACACTCTAATCTGGGAGAACCGGGTTTGATTCCCCACTCCTCCACTTGCACCTGGCTGGATGACCTTGGGCAAGCCGTAGTTCTGATAAGAGCTGTCCTTGAAAAAAGAGCAGTTTCTGTCAGAGCTCTCTCAGTCCTACCTACCTCACAGGGTGTCTGTTGTGGGGAGGGGAAGGGAAAGGAGTTTGTAAGCCGCTCTGAGACACCTTTGGGTAGTGAAGGGCGGGGTATAAATCCAATCTCTTCTTCTTTTCTTCTTAAGGTCTAAGGTACTGAAATTAAATTGCAACACTTGAAGCACAGAACAAACAAGTATAAGCAAAAGTTACTTATTAGAGAGTGCAAGATTATTTCAAAATAACATAACAGAGGAATAAAACAAGCTACATTTTAAGGTTCTAGCTACACAGTAAGACATTGTTTTAAAGTTACCAGATGTTACCCTTCTGGGTTGAAGTCAGGCATCAATCCATGTCTCTTTATCCAGAGAGCATGTGGCCAGGCAAGGAGCCTGGTCTATGTGAGGCTAACCCATCATATCTCATGTTAGCTGTACTAGTTATAGCTACAGCTACCAGCTACAACAAAAAACAATAAAACTACCTATTTTTAAGGCCTAAGGTTTGAGAGGGCAGGAGGCCCTTCTGCCCAATCAAAAATCAGACCAGTGAAGTCATTTTGACATGAACCGATTACAACAAATGGCACAGAGGGTGCCACTATGATGAGATGGAGAGGTTATGTGAAATATCACCCATCCCTGGTGCAGTGTAAATCAGAACATCAAATGAGGGTAGGGCTGCCAAGTGGGGGCAGGGGGCGGGTAAACCCCCGCTTCAGAGACCTGATTTCCACTGCCGTGGAATCGGGCCCCGGGGGGAACTCTGCCCCTCGAAGCGCAGCGTGGCCCCGATCTCTATGGTTTTCCCTCCGACGATTGGGGCAACGCCTTCAACATGATCAATTTCGTGCGTCACTTCCGGTGACGTGCTGGCGGCGCACGCACACATAGAGGAACGGCTCCCGGAACCCGGCGAGGCTCCCCCGCCAGTAAGATATTTAGACTTGGCAACCCTAAATGAGGGGCACTGGCTCCAGGTTGTTCCAGTAAACAAACGGTTTGTGAATTGTCATCCAAAGGTCACAAGGTTGATATGCCAACTCTTCCACATTAACGAGATATTTCCCATTTGGCCACTTCAATCCATTTACAGGCCTAGAGTTTAATTGAAAGAACAAGACATTTATAACACCCCCGTGGGACTGAGGAAACCTGTAGCATACTTTCATGTCACATGTTTTTATTTATTTGATGTTATGTAGGACAGGAGGAGAAAGATAAAGTAGGCTGCTATTTTCAGTGACAGACATGTTTAGTCACACCTTATATAATAATGAACACATTCTATAATTCACAAATTTAATAACTGGATGACTAAATTGATGACAACTGATGTTACATTTGGGAATTACCTCTCTTTCTTTCATTGTGGAGACTAGCAAGGGGAAAGCTTGGTAATGGGTGTTCCATTCCTAGTCCCTGGTTACTAATCACACTTTTTAAGAATTTAGCTGTACTTGACCTTAAATTATGTGGATAATCCACATAATTTAAGGTCAAGTACAGATAAATTCTTAAAGGTGTGATTGGTAACCTGGGCCTAGGAATGGAATACCCATTACCAAGCTTTCCCCTTGCTAGTCCCGTATCTCCTATTCCAATGCATACTATAGCACTGATGTGTGACTTTGTATTCCTGCAGGATTTCTTACTGCTGTTCTTCAGAATTATGCTAGGTTGAATAAAGTATCAGTAGATTCCCTTACTTTTGTACATAAAGTTCTTACATTTACTCAGAATAAAGAACAAGATCTTAGAAGTGTCAAGAGAAACGAATATATATTAAACAAAGCTTTTCAGGTAAGAAAACAAGAGTTGGAGTTACATAATGTTGTTGTTTTTAAAAGATTTTTATTGCATTTTCTAAACTAAACCTCTATACGGTCGGGGGAACTATCAGTAACAAGAGATTATTAATACATATTTTAAAATAGTCGATGTTTCTCTAATATCAAAGCAGTAATACATGAGAGTTATTGCAATAAAATTGTAAAAAATAAAGCGAGCATTCAAACACAGATTTGACTAAAGTGTATGCTTCTTAGCTTAAAGTTATTGATTAGTAATAGGTATCAGACAGAGTTACATTATTATACTTATTTTCTTCCTTTACGTTTCTTTTCAAACTTCCTTTTATTTTTAGGAGGCTTAGGAGCCATAGCCCCTAATTCTACGTCAGAGTCTGAAGATTCAGCTGACGAGGAGTTCTTAGGACTTTCTTCATTTTTGTCTTCTTCTTATCATCCTCCAATTTCTCAGGTCTATCTTTATCTTGTTGTTGTTGCTCAAGAAATGTTTTTGCTTTAAGAACAGAGTAAATCTTTTCTTTTTTTCCTGTTGAAGTTGAAAATAAGGCCTTCCGGTGTTATCCATCTGTAAAGGGGTGTTATGCTTTTGCAAAAACAATGCCAAGTCTCTGTATTGTCTTCTTCTTTTTCTGATCTCAAATGGAATGTCTTTTAAGGTTTTGACTTGTTCTCCTTGGATTTTCAAAACATTTCTGCTTGTTGCTTTCAAAATCAAGTCTCTTTGTTGACATTTTTGAGAATTTGACAAATATTTCCCCGGGAAACTTATTTTTCTTTATATATTCTGGATATGTACGATATATCATATCCATGTTGCTTTGTAACACTTCCACTGTTAAGCGTACCATGGGGGCCAGTTCCTTACTTAAAATCTCCTTCAGGTCCTCTCCTTTCTGCTCCGGAATGTTCTGAAATCTCAGGACATATGCTGATTTTTCCATTTGGAGAAGTAACAGTTGATGATTCTCAGTGATTTTATCCTTTTCCACCACCTCCAATCTTTGTCCAAGCTCCTTGAACTTAAGATCAACTTTCTTCAGCTTCTTGGTTATCTTCTCTGTTTTTGCTGAGGTTTCTTGAAGTTCCTTGTGCAACGTGTCAAATTTCTGGTTAAGTATCTGGTCCACTAGAGGAGTCTGTAGCAATCATTTTGGGAAAGTCTATGGTTGCTTCCGGTTTGGAAGCCGGAGACTATGCGCTGGCTGATCCTGTAAGTTTCGCTTTTGCCACCATTTTTTCTGCACGCTGCATTATTGTTTTTAGTTAGTAATATGTTTTGAAAAGTCTCTTAAAGTCTGAAAATATCACTTTCTTGCTAATCTGCTCCGCACTCCATCACCATCCACTCTTTTCAAGCCACCCCCGCCTCCCACTTTTAACTCAAATCTTTGGACGTGGGGATTTCCCCCTCCCTTTCGCTTATTTGGGGCTTTGGGGTGGCTTTAATCCCGACGTTCAGATGGCAGCTCGCTAAATGGTAAGTTTACCCCCATTCTTACTTGCGTTTGTTTAAGCAGTAGGGAAGATCGGTCCTGGCGGATCCCTTGCACGCTCGGTCCAGTGTGCACCTCTAGGTGCCATTGCTGGCTCCATGCTGCGCGGACCTATCG